ACAAAAATCAGACAAGGGTCGGTTCGCTCACGACCCTGTTCTCAGAAACGTCAAACGACGATGACGACACTGTGGGCTAGGGGCCCGGAAGGGGCCCGCGGACGGTTTCTCCACAGGTCCCCGAGCACCTCCGGCCACTGCAACCCTCGCCCCCTCCCTGCTTGGACCTGGGGGTGGGGCGTGAACGAGTCCCCGGGAGACGGCGCTTCTTATGGCCGGGTCTGGGGAGAGGGCAGGGGTATGGACTCTCTTCGCAGTGCGCCGGGACCGCCTGGAGGGGAGTCCCCGGGGTCTCAAGCTGTAGAGCCCACCCTCACGCACACACCCGTGCGGCCTCGCCCGCCCTCCCCACAGGCCGGCCCCAAGTCTCACCGTGAGCCCTGGGGGCGGCCTGGGGGCGCTGGGCGAGACAGGGGAGCTGACTCTGGGGCTCAGGCCGGCCAAAGGGCACCGCACACGGACCTAGGCCCTCCCGACGCCTCGACACAGACACAATGAGTCACAAAGGCCGGAAATGTGTCAGCGCCTCGCCTTCCGGTACCGTGCTGCACTTCCGGTTCCTCTCTAGGAACTCAGGAGGACTATGCATCTCGGTTCCCGAATGCGGGGACCTGGCCCCCTGCCCCTTAGGTGGTCAAACCTCCAGCTTTGAGGCTCCTTCCATTGGCTTGTCCGGGACGGATCAGAGGGGGTTTCTGTTTGTTTCCTTGATGCAAACAGACTCTCCAGCACAGATACCAGACCTTATGAGAATTCTATTTCTCCTGTCTTTTCCATCTCGGTCAGTCCTTGTAATTACAGTTGTTATCAAACAATAACAATACTTAGTAATTGTATGTCTGTGGCAGAGGAGCTGAAACAAGGGTGCAGACAGAGGAAGATCAAAGTGAAGCCAGGGGTTTCTCAAAGCTGCCATGGTAGCTTCTCTCGGGGCCTTGGATGTATGCCAGTAGAGTGGGTGGTATTTTCAAATACCTGGCCTGTGGACAAATCGCATCTTTCCACAAACAAGCTAGGTATAAGGTTCCGTGTTTTGCTAATGTGGTATATTCTACTATAGCAGTTTAAAAGGAGTTTTCAGAGTAATAACACTTTTGCCTTCAGGGAGCTTTCACAGCCTACAGCAATTCAGCCTTCATCTTCACCTTGTGGGATAAAGCAGGAATAAGGCTTCACCTTGTGCAAGAGTAACCATGGATTTAATGGTTTGGACTTTACCTTCCAAGACAGGTTCATGGGAGAGACTGAACTGAATAGCTTGGTTGCATAACTCCTACCGCTTGGGGAGATTACTATTTTAAAAATACTCAAAACTAAAAAGCAATTACAGTATCATTAAAGCATATTTGCAAAGTGGAGAAAAAGAATCACCTGTAATCCCTCCACCCTAACACAACTACGATGGCTTTAATTCATCCTTTTCCTATCTGTTTTCATATATAAATTTTTATTTGTATTACTTTAAGCATTGTTCAAAACCGTAACCATATTGGAGAGGTGGTTGCTGTGCTGGAAGTATCTGCAGCATTCATACTGTTTGACATACAGAGCTGATTGGATCAGATTTGGGCACCCGATAGCAGCACAGCAAATACACGTGTTGACCAGTGGAACTCTAAGGTGGCCTGGTCTGAGAGCTCTGATTACAGGG